ATATATATGTATGTATTATACTATGATTAACAAGCATTACAAAAGACTTATAGCTTTTCTCTTACCTGTTTAATCCATGCTGGATCAGATCCTGATGCTTGAAAAACGGTTACGTACTGTAACCCACTACCGGTTGTATGAGGTCAGCTGCAGGGCGGCCACATGCTGCGCTCCAGGCCACCCTATTCTTTTGCATTGGGGACTTACTGCGCATGTCCAAAATCTTATAATGACTTGTCTATGGGAATCTGGAGCACCGTGTGGCTGCCCGATCCATACCGGAAGCACGACCGTACTGTCCCGGAAGCATTATTTTTAGAATGTAGCATTTCGCTAAACTGATAACGGAATTCATTCAATTTCAGTCTTTCATCACCTGCAATGTTTCATAGAAAACTGCTGTGGATTTTTATTCCAGGAAAAAAATAAAACGAAGATAAGATGAGTTATAACATGATTGTCTAGAAAATAGTTAGCTATTATAAATAAATATGTACGCATCATAAATCTATATTTTATTAATCAAAATGTGAACAATATCAAAACTGTTTTCAGAATATAATGTAACACACCTTTCTAATTAAGTATAGAAATAAATATTTTCAGTTTTTTTTCCTAAATCGAGCACGTTCCAGAAGTCTATCATTTAGCGCATATGCAAATGAGCTGACAGTACGGATCGTGCGACCAGCAGCCGCACGCCGAACAGCTCGTGACCCGGAAGTGACTCAATACGAAAAAGCTCATGAGTAAAATGGAAGTTTACACATCAATAACTCTAAATTATTTATTTTACTTATCAGTAAACATATATACAATATTTTTTCAAAACATTTATTACATTTTATGTTGTTATTTTAATTATTATTATTACTTTTTTTGTGTGTACCAAAAATAGTGGTGGGGCGGCGCCCTAGCGCCCCCTTTTGACCAGCCGCCACTGAATACAAGTATTTGAGGCTGGTATCAAGCCCAGTATTGGTATGGGTATTCACTAGGCTGTATTATTCTCAAGTTCAGTTTTATCAACCTTTGTCAGAAGAGTAATAGCATCTTAACCATCTTTTTTATCCTGAGAAATATAAATTAATGGCTGCAGTTTTTGCTGAACCACAAAATTTGAACACCTTCTGGCACTCACTGTACTACAAAAACAGATTTGTTCCAAGCTACAGCCTTTTGTAAAACATTTATTGTTGTGTAGAGACTGTAACTGTGAATCACGCCTGAAGAAATTAATTGCTTCAGCTCTCYCTTCTTTCTTAATGATCTGCGTCTTTTTTTATTACGTTGCTGCTGGATTTTACAAATCGTGATTACAGACAGGAACACTAATTTAAACCTGCTGAGCGATGGATCTGTGTTCTGGGGCTGTTTTTTTTTTTTTTTTTAGGTCTCTGGGCTGTATTTACCATTGATTGGTGCAGTATAGTGCTCTAAAGATAATGGCATCTCTCAGGTTTCCTTCAGGGTCAGACATGAATTAATGTTCAGCTTCCTGCCGGCTGCTTGAGGCAAACAGTTGTGGATCAGAGACCGTAAAGTTAAGAATTTAGAGGCAGCGAGCGCAGTTTAAAATATGCCACTATCATTTTAAACCCCCTAAATCCAAGAATAATTTGAGGTTTCTTAGAGAGATGTCTTCTTTTGGGTTGTATTTAGATCTTGTGACACAAAGAAGAGCAGAGTCGGACATCTTCAGTCCAAAATTCAAAAGGCTTTACGTGCGGTAGGAGGAAAACTACAGACAAAATGAGTTGTACAAAAATGTTTCTTATAGGCAGTTAAATTATTTGCAGTTGTCTGCTGCTTGTGTCCACCTCTCTTTAAAAGCTTATCCCACTGTTAAGTTTTTGAYTGAGTACTTTTGTACCATAATAGTCAAACCGCTTTTGCAGTCAGTGGGGATTCATTTGGCTTGGAATCCCCACAAGTTCTGGGGTCTCATTTATGAAGGATTGCGTGGAAACCATRCTAAAAGTGAACGTACGGCCAAAAGGCGGAAATGGCGTACGCCAAAGAAAATCAGATTTATAAAACCRTGCGTACGCACGTTTCTGCRCATCTTTCCTTTATAAATCRCAGCCGCACGTCAGAGTTTGCGCACGAGGTCCCGCCTCAGGTTCTACCCTCTACACACCCACATTCAACCATAAACAGTCAATGTAAAGTACCTCATGAATGTTAAGATGTATTTAAATCAGTCAGCTGATCAATGCCAACAAAAGTGATTGGTTCAGACACGCTCCGTCGAACGTCTGGAGGTTGACAGGTGCTGACAGACCAACCCATTCTCACTCCCAACTCGTCACATATTGACGCTTTGGCAAGGTTCCCTCTACGTC